CAGGCCTTGAATCACGAGGCGACCATCGTCGCTGATCTGCGGGCGAGCACCTTATGAATTGACCGCACACTATTTTAAAGCACAGTCAATTTCTCATGCCAGGTGTTTGTGCCAGGAGCTCTCATTTTTTCTGCTGCAAGCTCACACGCATGCTTCGAGTCAGCTGGGCCCGCAGGTGGAAAACGTGATGCCGGGCAGAAGTTGTCGGGCCGCCAAAATCTTCCATCTCTGAGCCACTAAGCCAGCCACAGTATTTCGAGCCTTGCACTGAAGTCTGTCTTTCCTAGGCTAGCTTCAAAATCACCCAGAGCTGGAATCACAGGCCGACCGAGAGAAGCTAGCAGCTAGCAGGTTCTGCCAGCATCAGAGCTGTACGAAGCTCCCAGGTGCCAAAGTGAAGCCTTTCTTCACCAGAACCACAGGACGCAGCGGGCTCAGTCCTCGAAGCTCGGTCACTTTGACCTGCCATTTGATCGTGCTGTACTCGCCCTCCCACAACTTCACGTCAGTCATTGCAGCGATGGAGTTTTGAAATGCCGATGGCTGTCGTTCTTTCTCTTCTGGGACTTGGGGTGTGTAGCAGACACATGTAGCCTCCCAGCGAAAAACATCTGTATTTCTATTGCAGACTGTGCACACTGCCCTGCCTGATCGAAATTGTGATCCGTCAGACTCGCATTGGTCTTCCTCAGTTGGAAACCTATAGATTGCTAACTGGTATCACACTCACACATCTCTACTATCCTTGATGCTGCCGTTGGGCGTATGGTATGCGATCTTGGCCCTGTCCTGGTTCGTCTCTTGCGCCAACCATTGCTTGACAGGCAATACCTTGTTGTCCAGCATCACTTGGTCGCTGCCGGAGTGGATGCGAAATTCGATCTCCGTGTCCTTGACTTTGTCCACGGACTTCGCGGTCATGTCCACCTGCCGGTACTTGCCTTTGGAGAAACCAGCCAGGATGCTGTTCGCTGCAAAGAAAACCTTCCCACAGGGTAGATGATATCACGAGAGGTGAAATATCTGAGTGCTCACAGCCCTAAAACTTAAACCTGCAGAAACCACCCACAAAGCGCCTCACCCTTGCTGCCATTCTTCAAGTAAATCCCAGAAGGCATGACCACAAGCATGGGCGGCTCGGCACTGCCCTCCTCTACTTTCACAGAGACCACGTGGGCACACGCGATCACAGCTTCCGCTGGAAGCTCACTCACAGGGTTCCCCACTTTGAGTTTCTTGGGTGCGGAGCCTGGGCCGATTTCCTCGCCAGCCCGCTTCTTGCTCAAGTCCCCCTTCGGGATGCCCAGCATGTCTGACAAATTGTCGTGGAACGCCCGGAAGCGCTCTCCAAAGAGATTGTGATGGTAGTACATCTTGATGGTGTCCTCGGTGATGGCGGGGTGGTACTCGTCCCCAACCTGCGGGAAAGGCTCTCACAGACTCCAACAGTACAAGCAGGAAAGCCCGCCTTCTTCCTTCCAAGTCTCTGGAACGTCGGGAAATCAGGTGCAGTGCTCTTCTTGTCCGTGGGCATCTCTTTGGGCAACCTCATTGTGCGAAGCATGTACATCTTTATTATGTCTTCGGAGTGTACAATCCAATATCTGCTACCAGCTCGAACACAGGCTGCCATGTGGCCTCACGTACCCACTGATCTTCAGTCCGCCTTCCTTGAAGGCATTGATCAATTCACCGGTAACTCGCTTCTGGAGCCACTCCAGGTGGGAGTCATCCTGAGCGACCACCGTCAGGTGCATGTAGGTGCTTGAGTTCTGCTGAAACTCCGGGAATGCCTTGGTTCACCAAATTCAATTTCACAACACTCAAATGCCAGGTACTGCCGAAAACTCATTTGAGCTGCCAGAACGAGATCCCCATGCATGGGGAAAATATCCACCATCCAAATGCCGGATCTGCTGCTGAACTGGGTCCCTTCCTGTGCGAATACACACACCACAAACGACACTGAGACCACCAACAACACCGCCACGACAACACGAACAAATACGAGTATCATATCCTGATTAGTATGGCCATCCAAGTCTCGAGCAACTGCGTAAACAAGGCTTTGGCCGCCGACGAGCCAATCTGACAATACTTGGCCGCACCTTTAACTCTCTCCTCGCCCGCATCCGGGAGGTCCTCGTCGTTCTGGGTCTCAATCGTGACCATGTCTCGAGAATGCATCATAGGGCCTGCTGCTGCTTCCTCTGTCTGGAATAAAGCCGAAGTCTTCCAGAACTTATGGTTGTCAGCAGCAGCTGAGCTGATCAAGTGGCCTGAGTACCGCAGGGGACGTTCATCCCGGGCATCCTGAGACAGAGCAGAGCAAATAATCTTACTTCAATGTCGACATGTCCACGCTGACTTCATGCATGCTGGTGGCTGCTCGCTTCGAGAAGGCCAGGTAGTACTTCTTGTCTACGTCCATGGTTCCGAATGAAGTCAACTGCTTCAAAACCGTGTATTCTTCGCTGAAGACAGAGTTGCGCTTGTAAGCGAAGACAGGGCCCAACGTCATCCCGAGCGCGAGCGGGTGTGTCGCCACCATATTTCCCAAGACTTTGAAGCCTGCACTCTGAAGATGAGACGGTATCATGCTCAAGCTGCAAATGTTGCAGAAGCCAATGGGGACCTCATGAGCAAGAAAGCTACAGAACATCAGTTTACTGGCACTGTCCATCTACAGCAACTGTGATTGGCAAGCTACCAGTCCCGTTGCTGGCAATTGCAGCTGCTGTTCCATCTTGCTTCGCTCGGAGGAGATCTGGGTCAGCAGCAGGGCTGCTGCATCACGATGCTTGCTCCATACCAGGAAAGTGACCTTACTTGTTAAATCGACCCAGGAGAACATGTAACAGAATGGTGCACACGTGTCTCACGCGTCATCGAGCAGAAAATAACAAAGGACCGCACATTCTTGTCCAAGAAAGACTGCACAGCATGCGAGGATTCATCCCAGACCTTCTTCTTCCAACATGCGGCTTCGTGCTCAACTTTCACCCGCCAGCTCATGACAGCAGACTGGTAAACCTTCCACGTCTCCACATCCAGACTGAGTTCCTCCATGAGCAAGTTGAACTTGGATTCTTGGATGTGCTGCTCTTTCTCGTCCAGCTGTGCTGAAGCACTGTGGCCGACAGGCCGTGAACCGGCACAAGAATCCATAATGGCTTTGAGGCCTCAGAAAGTGTAATTGTGGGGGTTCA